TGCCTCCACTTGAAGATCAAAGCCATGTCTCGATTTGAAGCACCATCTGAAATAATTATGGATACTCTAAAAGATTAGTGGGTATGTTAAAACAAATTGGACTGGTATTAGATGTTTTTTGTGGCATAATGCAAGCTTTGCACTACACAAGTCTTAAGTGGGTAAATGGTTGCAAACACACTATTATGAATTCATAAAATTTTTCAAAACTTACTGTATCATTCTTCTGACGCCGCTAGAGACTTTATGTGTTTCGTAACATTGCTTAAGCATTTCTTCGAATTTGGTACTCTGAGCCTGTGTGAACGGTAAATTCATTGATAAACAAGAGTATGTTTCGTACACTGTTATTAGAAGCGGAATGTTGGATTAAGGATAAAACTCTAGTACAGGGTATCTCAAAAAATGTGTTTAAGTACTTTTCACTGTAAACGGTTGTGTCTATAGCATCCACGGAGAGCTGTAGTAAAAAGCGGCGTAGCAGAGTTCCCAAAGCCTCTCCATTTTCCCTGAAGCGGGATTTGGCCATCCCAGGGGGACCTAATGCCTCATAAACTCAAAACTCTCATTGGGATGTGCAAGCCTGATAATGGATAAATCCATATCAACAAGGAGGAAGAGAAAGTTAACGTAATATTTCATGATGTCATCTTCGATGAATGAAGAGTGATGAAAAAGAAGGATAGACCTACGCATTCACATTCACTTAAACTGTCGTTTTCTTCATACTTAAGCTACACCTGTGTTTAAATTCAGTAGCTTCAATGTGTCACATTGTTGGGAAAAATTAAATGAGACATAGTCCCACATCGAATGCGTCCCTTGGGTTTGATTTCTATGTCCATTAGCCCAGTCTGAGCAAGGCATAGCAGAACAATGGGCAAAGCTAGAGCCTAGCACTTGAGAGGTGATTGTTACCTCCAGGGCGCCCAAATACTCGCTCCAGAAAAGAAGTGAGGCTTCGGGAACTCCTGCGCGCCCTCTAGTAAGAATCAGGTTGTTCTAGCGTCCGCATTCCACGTGGGCGCGGTGTGTGTAGCGAGGTTTGTTATGCCGATTGCTGATCCTACCAAATCGGACTTCTTAAACGTAATACCTGGGGAAAACTAAGAATTTTAAAGTTCTCGTCAGACAATGATGAACGAGTCTCTGATAAAACTGTTTTCCTGGTTCAGGCGAATAATGCACCGTGATAAGCGAGCAAAACGCTCCCACTTTTCGGGTCAGCCCGCGTTCTGCGATTTCCCCTCTAGCATGGCCCGTGTCTGGTTCTCTCAAAAGCAGTGTTGTGAAGCGGGGAAGCCATGCGATCGTTTTAAAGACAAGTCGAAAATTTGAAATTATGTCTCATTCGTTTCCGTCTTCAAAGGAAAAGAATGTCCGGAATCTTTGTTTTCGACAGTTTTACGGTGATGA